GCGTTGTGCCTGCACACCGCAAAGAAAACATCAATCCAGCACACACACACACACATGCACACACACACACACGCACACATACACAAACAAGTGGGTGTTGACTTACATGGGTCAAGGCCCGGCAATTCCTCTGACATGGTGGGCAGTGCTCCGTGTGGCAGTCAGCGAGCACAAACGAGCGAAGAAGGAGAGGTAAGGGGAACACAGGAGCGAGGTGGGAGCTGGCTGGCTGGTGTTTGGTTGTTGGTGTTGGTGGTTTCCTCTCTGGTTGGCAGGGGGAATCACCAATTGCCGAAAAGTGATAGATATCATCGCCATTCTTCCATAATCCCAACGTTTCTGTGGGAAGCCAGCCAGCAGCAAGAGCAGCACAGCACAACACGATGGCTGGGCTGTATGGTGGGTATGGCGGTGCCACTGGCTCTCGGATGTGGTCTGCGCTGGAGCTGGCGCGAAGGGACCATCGCATGGAGTACGCTGTTGACGGCACGCACCAGTATTTGGCACCAGAGGTGCGTTGTGCGTTGTGTGTTTGTGGTTTGTGTTTGTGTGTGTATGTGGTTGTGTTTGTATGGGCGTTGTATGTGTGTGTTTGTGTGTTTGTGTGTTTGTGTGATTGTGTTTGTATGTGTGTGTGTGTGTGTTTGTGTTTGTATGTGTGATTGTGGTTGTGGCTATGTGTGGTTGTGTGGTTCTAGAGCTCGATTCACGTCGTGCGTTGGTTGTGTTGTCTGCTTGGCTACACTCACGACAGGCGGAGGCCAAACTGTTGGAAGCTCAAACACGTGCACAAAAGCTGGAGGAGGAGGCAAGGTTACACGCCTTCAGAAAAGGTGAGCGTTTGCATGTATACATGCATGTGTGTGAATGCATGCATGTAACGTGTGTGTAGTGTGTGTGTGTGGGTAGTGTAGTGTGAGTGTATTTGTGTGGACATGCTCTGTGCCAACTAGTTCACGCATTCAACCAGCTCACACATTCGTCAACCCACCCATCCCCCCCCACCCCACCCACCCACCACACACACACACACACACACACAGCCGTGCTGGACCGTGTCCGAGAGCGGGAGGAACAGAAGCGGCAGAAGCTCCTGGCATTGTCACAGAGGGCCGCACGGCAACAAGCAGAGGTGCTGCGCGTCAACAGCGACTACCATGACTATGTGGAACGAAACGCAAAGGTGTGTGTTTGTGTTTGTGTGTGTGTGTGTGCATTTCGTGTTCGCGCGTGTGTGTGTGTGAGTGTGCGTGTGCGTGTGTGCGTTGTTTGAGAGCTCGTGCACTTGTTGTTGCGTGCGTGCCCGATGCCTTGCGTCCTGCACGAGCTCATGCTTTGGTGTATGGCCGGGGATCAAGGCGATCCACCCCGTGTCCGGCGCTGAGATGACAGCACAGCAGCGACACCCAACTCGTCACCGAGCTGCAGAGCACCTGAAGGTGAGGGGCGGGGAATAGAATACGCTTGCACACAAACGCACACACACAAACGCACACACACACACACACAATGCTTGAGAGGAGGCACGCTTGTTGTCTGTTGTTTGTTATGCATTCTTGCGGTCACGCGTGTACTTCTCATGTGCCATTCTCACGTCCATCAACGTGTCTTCTGCCCGCCACCATTCCCACGCCAGCGGCGGTCTGTGTCTGAGGTTGCCGCTGCCAACACCGCGCGGTCTCTCCCTTGCGACACGGCGCAGCGCAACCCCCATCGACGAACTCCTGCCAGGTTGCGTGTGTGTGTGTGTGTGTGTGCGTGTGTGTGTGCTGGGATGGGTGTTGGGAACGACACTAATATCTGACACTAATGTCGTTGTCCAACAAACACGTGTGCTCATGTGTTGGTTCTAGGCGGCATGTGGAACAACGAGGAGCGCCTTGTACATTGCCTGCAGGCCATTGAGGCAGAAGGTGTGTCAACCTCACCAACGTTTCACCGTGCTCTGTGTGTATGTGTGTGTATCACGTGCGCAAGAACACCACAATGCCACCTCCCTCACCCTGCCTTTCTTATTCCCTCACCGCCACTGCCAGAGCACGTGCTGCAACAACAACAGCAGCGTCAGCAGCACCTGAACGACAGCGGATTTGGCGATGAAGGCGATGTTGATGACGAAGATGATGAAGTGACAAAGGGATCCTTGCAGGTGAGCTTGCTGTTGTTGGGTTGTGCTTTGCGCGGTGTTGATGTGTGAGCAAGTGTGTGCAAGTATGTGCACAATTGTGAGAGTGTGTATGCAAGTGTGAGTGTGTCTGTGCAAGTGTGTGTGTGTGTGCAAGTGTTTTGATGATGGCGGTTGACAGCATCAACCCATCACCCATGTGGGTGTTTCGGCAGGGCGAGCAGCCGTGGACGGACTGGCGTGACGACATGGTGCACCCGTTTTGGTCAGTTGAGCCTGTTGCACTTGCACGAACGAACGCACGCGCAATGTGGTGCGGGGCACCAGTTGGAGAGGCCCAGAGCAGCGTGTCTGCTTGATATCTCAACTTACGGTGGTGTTGGTGCATTCGTTGGTTTGTTGTTCTGCAAGGGATACTGGCGCCGTTCGTCAGGAGCTGGAGCGCCAGAAGAGGGCGCAGTTTGGCCTGTACAGGTGCGCTGAAGATGATGAAGAAGATGAAGAAGAAGAAGAAGAAGTTGTTGTTGTTGTTGTTGTTGTTGTTGTTGTTGCTGTTGTTGTTGCTGTTGTTGTTGTTGTTGTTGTTGTTGTTGTTGTTGTTGTTGTTGTTGTTGTTGGTGGTGGTGGTGGTGGTGGTGGTGGTGGCAGCCATGTGGTGAAAACTGCGTGCGTTGCTGAGTTTTGTGAGCGCTTGCACACTTGGTGACTTCTTTGTGCATGTTGCGCGTGCTTACTCCCGGCGCCTGCAATCGTCTGCCCTGCATCAACAGGCGTGTGTACATGGACCGGGAGCGGGCGCAGGTACGCGCGCACCGCCAGCAGACGCAGCACGCGGCAGAGATTGAGGAGATGAAGAAGTGGCGCGAACTGCACCGGCGCATGCACGAGAACTGACAGCAGGGGTGCTTCGTTGCTTGCCTGACTGCCTTTGTGTGTGTGTGTGTGTTTGTTTGTCTGATGTGTGTGTGTGTGTGTTGTGCTGCATGTGAGAAAATTGTGACGACGATCTTGTTTGCTTGCTTGCTGGTGACGATTGCTGTACATTTTAGTTTGTGAGAGAGTAGACAGACACTACGTTGCGTTGGTTGGTCAGCATTGGAGAATGGTGACGTGAGGGGTGGGAAGAGAGAGCGTGCTTTTGATGATGCAAAGCGACAGGTGAAGAGGGAAGACAGGTGAGGAAGGGAAGACAGTTGAGCCATTGTGGGCTCTGTCCTATTCAATGGACTTTTGTCCTATTTCTATCACAGAGCGCTGTGATTTGACACTATCCACCAAAGAAGCCGTCCTCCTCGGCAAAACAACAGCGATCGTTGGATTGGTCGTTGGTTGGTTGTTGTTGGTTGTTGTTGTTGTTGTTGTTGCCGAGACTGGTGAGTTGAGGCTGGGGGAAGCTGGTTGTGGGTTGTGATGCTTGCTCGCAGTGGAGCGTGTCCTACTGCATCGCTTGCTTGCGTGCACTTGAGTGCATGAATGAGAGACACATGTCGCTGGCTTTGATGTCGTTGTGTGAGGTTGTGCGATGTTGTGCGTGTGATGTTGTGCGATGTCGTGTGTGTGTGTGTGTGTGATGTCGTGTGTGTGTGTGTGCGGTGCAGCAAAGTAACTCCTTCCCGTGCTACTACACCGCCACTGCTGTGCTGTGTGCACTGCTGCCCCTAAATGTCACATATCACTGCGTCTCTTCTGCCTCGCGCACTTCCCCTGCTCACACAACACTGCTTCTCCTCTTAACTTCCATGACGCTTGTTTCCGCTTCTTCGTGGCCGTGCCCATGCCTCATCAGCCAGTGATAGCACCTGAGCAAGTGTAAAGAGACCCCTCTCCCACGCGCCCCCAGCAGCGGCACGATGGTGTTTGGAGTGGCAACTGCGGTTGCTGCCGTCGCCCATGACTGGCTGCTCTCGTTGAGAGCGGTCGTGTCTCCGACACAACCGCACCCGTTCATAAGGCCGCCCGCCTCTGCACCGCCACCCATCAAGGCAGGCACCTTCTTCGCCGTGGACACCAGCAAAGTCAACGGCGGCACCGAGGACACAACCGGCAGCGTGGAGTACAGCCCACTCGCAGCCAACCACACGGCATCAGCGCCGGGCGAAGCGTCCTCCGCACCCACATCGTCAGCCTCACACCACTCGTCGCCACTCAAGTATCTCGTCTCCTCCGCGACAGCGGTGGCCTCGAACACATATGCGCAGATCGCAGCGAGGCACGCGCCAACCACAGCGCCAACAGACACCGCAGCATCGCCATCATCATCATCATCATCATCGTCAGTTCACGCAGCCGGTACAAACGGCAACGGCACCCACGCCCCGGTCACCAGCAGCGACAGTGATGCCAACGAGGCTGATATTGGGGAGGTGGTGATGATCCAGTCCAACCTGCATCGGCCGCGGCGGTCGGAGGGCCAGGCGCCGTGCACACTCATGATGGTCACCGCAAACGTCGGCACCATCTTCGAGCAGGTGGGGAGGGTGTGTGTGGGTGTGAGTGGGTGTGGGTGTGGGTGTGTGCATGTGGATTGGAGAGGTGCTGCCTGCTCTTCA